CATACATGTACATATAGAAGAATGATCTAATGAACAACGGTGTTTATATTATACTAAGCACCAATTAGATGCCTTATCAATTCATATATCACTATCATCACAGCACTATCTCTTTAAAAAGAAAATTCATGAAACACTGTTCATTTATGAAGCTTTCTTACTTTTCCCATTTTTTCCGTTAATCCCATTTTGCTAATTTTGAACCTCTGAGTCTAATTGTCTTTTCACACGACTACAAAATATTTCCTTTGACTATCTGGACCGAAAGTTTTCCATACTAATCCTAAATTTCTCTCTCAATATAAAAAAATTCAAAATTCAACTAAATACTTTCTTCACCTCCCAAAAATTCATTCAATGTAATTATCTCTTGTGATTACTCAATACTGAAAAATTAACTTTTGTGGCTGTAGATTCAGATTAATATTAATAAGCATTTCTCCTCTTTCCTTTCGTAAAGCCAATTTGAATCTCAATAATACTACCTATCTTGTCTCTATCTAATTATTGCAACCTGCTTTTGTGTTTTTATTTCGATTGTAGAAAGCTTTTGCTTAATTTCTATGTCAACTGAAGGGGAAATAATAATAATAATAATAACAACAACTTGACAAAATCATCATTTCCAAGTTCATTATTGTATTCCATCTTATAAATTACTGCTCCCTCTTTGTTCAAATTTAAAATTAACCATTGCATATTTATAAAATATTTTTTACTTTGTTTATTAAAATTTTGTAATACAATCTTCCATCAATTCTTAACATTCAAGACGCTAATAATTCCCTTAAAATAATGCAATATGTGCATTACACGAAGCATAAACTAGTGTTTTAAAAAGAACCAAAATCTCATATCTATAAGGAAGATTTAGGGCTACAAGGAGCACAACAGTCATAATGACTAGATCTACAATGCTACAAAAGTCATTAATAAATACTACCATATTTACAAAAGTATCCAATTTATAGTAATATATTTGGATTGTTTTTTCTTTAACAACTGATCCAATAATGGATTGACGATTTTTTTTTTGAAATTTTATTTGCTATATCATTTTGAGTATAATGTTGTACTAAACTAGAGAAGTGATGATAATAATGAAAAATACAACATTAGATCACACGCTAGAAAATGAGTGAAAAAGAATAATTTTGGAAATGTATGAATCATACGAAAGATGTAAGGATATATTTAACCACAGAGGGTCTGGAATTGTACCAACTTGTGAATTCATTTTATGTCTACTTATTTCTTTACACACACACACACACGTCGTTTTTGCATTGGATGAGTGGATATTGGTTTGGTATTGTGATTTTGAAGCGGTTTGTAGATTTAATACGACGATCTTAAATCATGATGTGAGAAGCTAAAATGTCCAACCAAATATTTTTACATGCTTGTGTGTTGGTTATTATTTAGGTTATAATTTTGTTTGAGGACAAACAAATTTTTAAGTTCGGGGATATTTGATAAGTATATTTTATACACCTATTCAATGTCTAAAATAATGATATTTGATGGTTCTTTTGACAAATTATATTCTAATTTTTTTATTTTATGTTTAATAGGTAATACTTGGGTTTGAGTAAAGAAATTGAAAGAATGAAGCAAAAAAGGGCGAAATACAAAAAAATCCAAAGTACGAGAACTAAATCGGCTATTGGAAGCAAAATTCAGAGATCAAATTTTATACTTTGGAAAGTGAATGACTTGAATTGAACCAAAGAATACATGGGGTGCAAGAATAAAAGGGCACAAGGACTAAAGTTTATTATATTAAAAGATTGAGGACTTGAGGGGTAATATTGCATTAATGGCTTTGAATTGGTGTCAAATATTGAGGCTGTAGGGTCATTATATATAGGTACACGCAGGAAAAAAACTGGGGTAGCCAATATTATAAAATATACTCACAAAAATCAAAGCGGCTTTGGGGAAAAATTAGGCACCAGGTTGCTGAAATTTATTAATTACACGCGGAAATTGGAACAGAGATACCAACACAAAAAAGGGCAGCTTGGAGTCCTTTGAAAAGTCAAGAATTGTGAGCAACCAAAATCATATACATACACGAGCAGAGAAGAAGACAGAAGCTGTTGGCTGGGAATTTATACATGTATACTCGGCAAAAGACGACGACGTGAGGCGGATTTACTTTTACAAATTATTTATGTTCCATCAATTAATCAGGTGATGAATTTTATGATAATTTCTTATTTTTCTTTCATGAATATGAGTAGCTAAATTTAATTTTAGGGCGAACAATATAATTGATTTGTGATCCTTTATTTCTTTTATTTGATATTCTTGTTCTTTTATATTTTTTGTGTGAATTTTAATCATATTCTAAACGTTTTGAATTTTCTGGCTAATATCCAATGATTACGTAAACAATAATTACGTAGAGATGAGGATTATTGTTTAGACCACATATTAAAATTCGATAAATTAATATAACGTGTAGAGATACATATATTAGTTGTTTCCGTCCAATAGAAATTCTTGGAACTATTATTTCGTTTAAATAATGTTGATTCGCATAGAGATATGAAATTGAATTATTTAAATAGGCGCAATGGGAACTCGAGAGGGGTAAATTGAATAACATAGAAGAATTCGACCGAATACTGCTTTAATTTTATGAATCTTGATATTAGAAGTAAATGTGATCTATAGGTGAAATTGTTTCGCCCTAACATCAATTCATTATTTAAATTTTCAGTCACTTTTGTTGCATTCACATTTTAAGTAGTAAGATTTAAAATCACAATCAATCATCGTTTTTTGTTTATTTTCATCAAAAAGAAATTAAAAATAATAAGTTAAGTATTAAAGTATAGTCCTTAAGGGAACGATAATCCGGACTCAAAAAGTCCACTTTACTACTTGTTACGATCCGTGCACTTGCGGAATAAAATCGGCAACATGTGTTTGTGACTAATCTATAGAAATGCTACCAAAAGTTGATAAAATGTGGACGATCTCATGAAATATATGATAAAAAAGTAGATATAAGAAATCATTTTTTGAGCCTCATTTTATCAAAAACTCATTTTTTCAAAAGTCATTTTCAATTACACATTCTCCAGCAAAATAATTTTACAAGTAAATTGAAAATTTTTCTTATTTTTTTAACACACATTCTTCGAAAAAATGCGATCCTAGAAATGCATTTTTCTCCAAAAATGGGGCTCCAGCAAGGGTAAAGTTTAACTAACTTTTTAGCAAACAGAAATTTTACCAAAGAAGCAATTTAAAGTTTTCACATTACAAAGTCATCCTAATTAAACTCAAAATCTACAAAATTCATTTTTTTCTTTTTCTTTTTCCCTTTTTTTGGTTGGTTGGATCGTTTACTATCAATCAGTGAGTATTAGGCTTCTCATGTGCACGTCCAAGAGACATTCGTCCGGAAGTCACACGCACCGACCCTACTCTTATACTAAAGTTTGAGAGTTTGACAAAAAAAACATTATTAAAAACATGAACAAACTGTTCGATTGTTACGAGCAGACCAATTCCATGTGGAAGCATGGGCGCTAGGGGCGGACCAGATATTTCGAACTGTGAGATCAAAAATGAAAATTTTCACCGTTGTCCGTAATCAAGTAGCAGCAGGGGCTAAGCCGCTTAGGGACGGCCCGGTGGAGGGCCGATGGCAAAGAGAAAACTGGAAAGTGAAAAAGACGAGTGAAAAAAAAAGACGAATCACGACTCACGTTTCACAATTGGCAATTTGGGAATTGATTTGGAAATATTGGAACTCATTATACAAGTTGGATTGGATTTGGTTAAATGAGTAAATGGATTATGGGAATGGGATTATGGATATGGATATAGTGATTGGATTTGAGCTTTTCACAAGTGTGACTACTATTGGAAAATTGGGTTTGACAACTGAAGTGGGTAGCTGTTAGGTTAAAAATAAAAAATAAAAATCCATAATTTTGTGAGGTCATTTGATCTACATGACCCCATGTTGGTCCACCCCGTATGGTCCACCTCCTTTATGCACAAATACACATATGTAACTAGTTCAATCTCTTATTTATTGATTATCAACTTCATATCAAAATACTTTAATTGCTCCATGAAACTTATTCTTTTGTTTTTTAACTCTAGTCATGGGTAGGCATTTTAACACAAACCAAATCCGCCGAATTGAAATGAACAAGAGGTTCTAGTTTGATTCCAAAAAAATAAATTAAGAATTAGAGTCTAGAATCGAAAACTATGAGTTCTCAATTCTGAAAATGAATTTGTCATTTTTATGAAATTTTAATTTTTACAATTTATTCATCCTCACCTAATGGCTCGATTCAACAAATAGCAAGTTGCAAATTCAGCAAGGAGCATAAGTTTGCAGGGCCAAGAAGCAAATATCAAGATCGATGAGATTCATTTAGTTGAATCATGTCACTTTCACTCATAGTCACTTCTAATCATATTTTACGCTTTGCACAAACCATAAACCCTTCTCGCAGGCACTACACGTCGAGTCACGATCGGAATTGGATGTTATTATTCTAGATATTTGATGTTGTTTGGTGAATATATGCATAAAAAGTGTTGAAACATATATTTGGTGATATATATTTTATTTTTTTATTTCTTCCCGATATAATGAAGATAATTTGTATTGTTAGCTCATGGATTTTTAGTAAAAATATTATACGTAGAATCGAATTTGAATAATCGCTTCGTATTCAGATTTGGTTCTATTAGTTCAATGGACCCAAAGGATTTCATGTACAAAATACTCGAAGTGAAATAGATAATTTCAAACATCGAAATATTGGGATTGACCCACACAACGCTCTTACCCAACCCTAGTCGAGTTTCATTTGAAAACGTCAATCTTGTTCAAACAAAACCCATACGTGTTGTCTCAGTGTTGTCAACCTCATTAATGCATGGCAACTGCACCAAGTAAACAGGTAACCAGCCCCATAATTCACACTCTCATAAATGCCTTAACACCACCTCAACAACCACGTTTCCCCCTTTAATTCCAAGCTTCAGCATTCGCATCGACTACATATCCACATCCGGGTCTAACAAATTCTCCACTAAATTAATCAAAATGGTGAAGAAAATGGAAGCTAAATGCTTGGCTACACTCATCGTTTTCATGGCTGTTTGTGGCGGTTTTACGACCGGTGGTGCAGATACGGCGTTAGCAAACAAGTGCTCGGCGGAATTTCAGAAAGTGATGGCGTGTTTGACGTTTGCCACCGGGAAGGCGGCGGCGCCGAGCAAGGAGTGCTGCGATTCGGTGTCGGATCTTAAAGAAACTGACCCCGCTTGTCTTTGTTTCGTTATTCAGCAGATCCATAATGGTTCTAATCCCGCCATTAAGCAAATGGGGGTCCAAGAATCACGATTGCTTCAGTTGCCTTCTGCTTGCAAGTTGGCCAATGCTAGCGTCAGTGAATGCCCCAGTAAGCTTTCATTTCGGCACTTTAAGAAATATTTATTTATTTATTTTTATTATTTATTATTTATTATTTATTTTTTTTATCTTGCGCGTTGAGGTAAGCTAAGGTTTACTTATAAGTTTCCTATTTTAAGTAAATTAAGTAAGTTTGGAAATAATCAGACGAGCTTGTAAAAAAAAAATAGAGGAAATTTCATTGGATATCAAAATTTGACTATGCATTATCAAAAATGCTACCTTTCAAATTTTCTATCAAAAATGTCAGTTTAGGATATTTTTGACCCTATGAATTATTTGAATACCTTATATATTATTGTACAAAACCTGTGTATTGTGTCAGAATGAAATAACAAAATGTTGGAAATGAAATGACGATGTGTCAGAGTGAAATGACAACATAGCTTTGAAATCGTTTACATTAAACTGTCATTCCCGACAGTTAGCATAAGTATTTCTCGACAGATGGACTCATCGATAGATCAGAAGAAGTTTTCGACAGATGAACTATCGGGAACGAAAATTCCTTTCTTTACCTAAGTTCAGTTCCACAATTTGAACTTTGGTTCCAACATTGCACGTGTGTTTCGCATTAACATGTATGAAATGCTATGATTTCATGATTTGTTGATCGATTCGTCGTTGTTTATGCTTGATTGATGTATTCATTTTCTATGTTTCAGTTTCAGTGATTTTTTTCGCATTTTTTGTTCATTATGCTTGATTGATGAATTCATTTTCGCCCTGAAATGTCATCTTGGCTGCCCACATGAAGTGGGTAGAGATCTATGTGCACGAGGACGATTATGACAAATTGCGTTCATCAATTGACTTCCATGATAACTTTGATCAGATTGTTGTTATTATTGCTTATTTATCTATAATGTATGACTGCTTTTCACATTACTGGGGTGACAGGAGAAACAATGAATTTATATGAGATACGCGATGATTGTTCATCGTTCGACGTTGTTGAATGAAGTCAGAATATTTGTTAATGCGTAGTCTTATTCTTCACATTTCTATGTTCGACAATTTAATCACCGACACATACTTCGACTTCGGTTTGGTAAGGCTGCTACCACTGTGTAATATGATTCAAATGAAGATGAAAGCTGGTTTGATAAGGTTGCTACCACTTAATATTTGCATAAATCTTTTTGGTATCTTTTCCCTTAAAAAATATTTCAAAAATGAGGAGTATCATGATTAATAGTAGTTTCAAAAGCATTATTTACTTTGATGATCATGTTGTTTTTATCATTTAAAAAAGAGTAAGTTATTCGATAAAAAAAAAATCGTAATAACTAACCTCTTAAAATGAATGATGAATTTAATAATAATGTCTTATTGATCAAGGAATGAACAAGATGGATGAAGTGAGGGTTTCTTGAATATATTTCTTTGATGTTAAATAGGTTTTTACTTCTTTTATCTTCTTTTTTTTCAAGTAAATTCATATTATAATATATAAATTTAACTAATCAAATCATAACATTAATTGGATTGGAACATAGCATTAAATACTCCTAAAAGGGGACATGAATGATAAGTTAGATATTTCCCAGAAAAAAGTGACATTTTTGATAAAATTAGGTGCACATCCAAATTTTTTGTGCATTTTCAAAAAAATTGACATTTTTGATAATTCCCCAAAAAAATATATGTAACTTTTGCAGTTTTACTCACTTTTAAGCTTAGCCAAACTTGCTAGACTAGTTTCAGTATAACTTTAGGTATAGTAGATAGGTACCCCTTTGATTTTTTTTTAATTATTATTTTTTTTTTAATATAGTAATGTTATTCCTAATCGCTCAGCAATCGCCTATTTGACATACATATAATATGTGATTACTTGATGTATTAATATTGTAGTTTTTTATTGATTCATGCAACAAACTAGATAACCACTAGTCACGTGCATGTCACGTAAAGCGATTGTCGTACTGAGTTAAAATTGCAAATAACACTATTCTTTTTTATATGGTAGATATGAAGCTAAGTAGGTGCATGTTTAGGCGTTTAGCAATGATGATTTGTATATGAGTAAGATTTTACTAGTCGTACAATCCCAACAACCTCCTCATATGAAGGGGTTCAAGATTTTTTTATTCATCGTGGGTTTTTCTCTCATGTGTGTGGTTGTCAATCCTGTTTGTACATGTAACATGACCTATTAATACCTTAAATAATAAGTTGCCATATAGAATAATTGTGTAGTAGTTGATTATGAATAAGAGTAGGTTATGTGTATATACAACACATATTTTGATATCCTAGTCAATTATTGACAATAGTATATAGATCTTTCAATTCTTAAACATTTTATTGAATTAACACGCCATTTTGCGTAATGAGCAGAGCTTCTACACTTACCTGCTAATTCTTCTGATGCTGCGATTTTCACCAACGCTAATGCTACCACCACCCCACCGGGGACGTCATCACCAACAACGGCCGCGGACTCAAATGGATTCCGGCATGGACCGCAGCAACTTGCAGGAATTCTGGCTATAACCATTACCTTCATCTTCTTTTATGCATTTCCAGCAGGAGTTTAATCTTATAACAAGCTGGCAGTATCTGTAATATTCACTTCTCAAGACTTCGAGCTTTTGTTAAATTTGTAACTGGATTACATTTCATCACTTGCCTATTACGGTGGCTTATTTATCCAGCTTGATTTTGCTAAAAATTAGATTTTTTTCTAAATTTTGATAAAGGCTGTGGATTTTATGAAATGCGTGATTAAAATTAACTGTCGACTTTTCATTTAGATTTTTATCATTTTTTTAACTAAACCAAATAGGGATGTAATCATAGGCACGTATTAGGTATCTAAAAGAAAATGAATTTGATCTCGTAGAGAAGATGCATAGGATTTTTTAAATAAATAAGAGTGATATTAATTCTATCCAGCTAACCGATCAACCTTTTAAATGAGACGTGGTTGAACATTTCGTGCAACTTCTTCGCTACCGCCGCAACCTCTTGAACGTCCACAAATAAGGTTTCGTTTGGTAGTCATTTTTTTTTTCAAAATGCATTTTTCCCTCTATTATTTTCAACCACACATTCTTTATTAAAATAATATTACATGTAAATAAAAAAAAATTTCATTATTTTTCAACCATACATTTCACATCAATTTACTATTTTAAAATATATTTTTACATAAAAATGACTATCAAACACCCGTTAAATGGTAAAAAGTAAACTTTTAACATATGGGGGATGGTTTGAGGGTTTGGTAGTATAATTAATAATAAAAATGATAATAACTTAAAGATTTATTTTTGACAATGTAAATAATTTAAATTTAAATTACTTTTGAATACATCCAAACATGATGTTACTGACATTCAGAATTACTTTGAGTTATTAATAAATAAATTGTCTATTTATTTGAACCATTTCCAATATTAGTTGGCAACTCAAGTATCAGTTTTGGAGGAAATGATAATTGCCCAAAAATTAATGATTTCTTAACATTTAACCTTTTAATAGACACTATGTTTAAATTTTACACAGATTGTATGCACTAATTGGTCACCTAGACCGTTGCTATAATTTCAGTGGTGTTAAATATCATTACTCTTAAATTTAATATTTTTCTTTGAGTCTCAACTCTCAAGTAGAGAGTAATCCTACAGAATTTAACATAATGGATTTTTTTACTACTTTTTAATATTTTTTTTGGAATTTTTATTAATTAAGGGCTTTTTTGGTAATGATTGTGAGAATTGATTTTTTGATTGTTAGATAGAAAAGTGAGTCTTATCTGTAAGAGAAGAAGTAAAAAATGACGCATGACTTAGGAAGTAACGATAAAAAAAATAAATTTTTTTGGTAAAAAATCAGAACCAAACTTGCACTTAATTGCAATTATTATAATAATATAAAATTTAACGTTGCAATTTTCACATGATTAAAAGTTTAAATGAGAATTTTCTTTATCGTACCTCAAGCCCCTCAGAAAAACTATAAATAGGGCTTAAAGCTTTTCATTTTCACATGATCTAATCTAGATACTCCTTTGTAGGGATGGCAATTTGAACTGTCAAAACTGAAAATCACGGTTAATCGAACCGAATGGGACCAAAAAAATCGAAACGATGGGGGTGCAATGGGGCGGATATGGTATTTGATTTTAATGAACTGGTTCGTGATGGTGCGGGTATGGTATTTACGCCATCAAACTGAAACCGAACCGATTACCCGCTCTAAAAAAAAAGGCATAAAAAAAAAACAATTGAATTGATTATTAGATTTTACACTATTTTTCTATCCAATACAAAACAAAATTCCCCCATTACATCTACTTGACCCAGCCAGCCAGTTCACTTACCATTAGCCCATAATATTAGCATTAGTATGATAGTATATAAATACAAACCCTACTCTTCACAAACCACAAGCTCACGAACGGCTCCACTACTTCCACGATTCAAGCCGTCGTCGCCTTGAGAAAATTTTTCACACGACTTTGTTTGAATCAGATTGGACTTCAGTTTTAAAGAAAAGACAGGACCTCAGGTGAGGAGCTTTCTTAATCAAGATTATTGGAATAAAAATTTCATCTCAGTCATTTTTGTTTTATCTGTAAACTGATTGCATTTTACATCCAATTCTAGGGACGCATTTTTCAGGATTTGATGCAGAAATTGTTTCAATTTTTTTTGAAAAGAGGATAAATTCAATCATTACTGATTATAGTATAGACTTGAGCCAAGTCCGAGGCGTGGTTGAATATAATATATTGTGTTTTTATTTTCATTGACTTTTTTCGTAAATTGTTTTATATCAATTTGACGGATGAACTTAAAAATAATTTATTTTCATGGTTATTAACCGAACCGATTTACGTGGTTATGGTACGGTTATGGTATGATCAAAAAATTGATGGTACGATTATGGTTTTGACCGAACCGACCCATAACTAAATCGTTGCCAATCATACTCTTTCGGTTTAGGTAAGTTACTTTGAGTTAATATTTTATTTAAATAGTTATAATTTAGTAGAATATGTTTAGCATTGACCATGTGATGTTCCGGTATGTATCGTACACTTTTTAAGGCAAAAATTGAAATTTAATGTGCTTGTATCAAGATGTAAGTGCTTTACGTATCAATACATTTCGACACGTGTTGACTTGTAATGCCTTTACATATCAACACATAGGCATCATGTGTCAACACATAGGCCACGTGTCAATACATAATTACATTATGTGTTGACACTTCACATTTTTTATCCCGTACCTTCATTTTTTATTGTTTGATTTTTGGAACCTATTTCGACCATATTGAACGAATTTTTAGAACATTTCCTACATCCCTTGTGTGTGAACACCCATGTTTTTGGTGTGACGGTGTGTATGGAAAAAATCAATTCTTTTTTAGAAAACTCCAAATTAAGATCTGTAAAATATATTACACTTGTGATTCTATAATCTTTTCAACGATAGATTATGTGATTTTGGAGACCTTTGAATCAATTTTCACGCTCCATTTCCTCCACGTGTTTTGTCAGTTGTTCTTGGATGTCTTCAGGATCTTGTACTTGGTGTTTTAGCCCTTAATGACCTTCAAGTTGATCTTGAGAAGTGATATGGTGATGATTAACTTAAGATGGCTAATGCAGACACTGACCTAGCTATAAAATGTGGAGGAGCGAAACCATAAATGCTATAATAGAAAATGATATTTGTAAGTAATAGATCAACAATAATGTAAAACGCTAGTATTGTCATTATAAAGTTTAAATATTTGTTTATGATCGAAGTCTTCAAAATATGACGTTGTTACCAAAGTATATTTTTTCTAATGGAATACTATCATATGTTAATATGACACATACATGAGTATGAGACTATGACAGAGTTTGCTTTTTACGACATGCATTGAAAGTCATAAAAAATTACTTACGACGTACATGTGAACGCTGTATAAAGTCATGCCATAAATAATCAAAATTGAAAGCACGCCATAAATAAACTTTTTTATGGTGCGTAGAAGCACACCATAAATGCTAAACCTTTTTAGGGCACGAACATGCTTGAGAATATGTAAGTCTGTAAATAGTTTTTTAAAAAGGTTTTACGGCATGCTATGCTTGAGAATTATGTCATAAAAATAGACCATTTATGACATGCCCTATATATTAGTAATTGAAATTTTACACGTACATTTCGGCATGTAGTAAAAACAGACTTTTTATGATATACCTTAAATGATTGTAAGTAAATGTCGTAAAAATTTACATATATTGTAGTTGTGGTATATATGTATGGGCATAATAGAAGTAATCATGCATAATTAATCAAAAAATGTAATAACGTGAATAGATTGGGATGATTGAGAAAACTTGTATATGACTTTCGAAATGAGAGTAAAATAATGAATATAATGATATTGCCTCACATGTAACTTGTTGACGTCAAAATTTGTAAGACTGATCTTGAGCCAACTTTAAGAATAAAAATGGCGAATTATTACTAAATGAGCTAGAAATCAGTTGAGAAAATATAATCATGTAATGGTCTCTCCTTTTTTTTTTTTTTTCCTTCTTTGGGGTAACGATGTCCCCATTATTTATACATGTTTTCAACTAAAATTACATCAAATCAATCAAATCAGCTACAATTCCGAGCTCAGAACTTGGGTCGCTGAATTTTCCTATGATTGGTCGACGAGGCCGACGGCTATGTGTCAATGTTTTCCTCAAATAATGATGACCCTTAGGCAACTTGAAGATCCCGAGTTAGGGATTGGTGGCCATGGGCGACGGTGACGTCACTCCTGACAAATGGGTTGATTGGAGAAGTTGATGTGATAAGGGGTAATCATAATGCCTCCTGAGTTTACGGCGGGTAATTTGATTTGGGGGTCTCGGTCGAACTCATATTTGCTTGAGGTGGGGCCTGTGATAATTTATCATAAGGTCGGAGTTCGGTGGTCAACATAACTTATTTTATTTTATATTTAGATAGATATACTTGTTGAGAATCCCGAAAAGTCAATGTGGGTAGCCAAGCATAATGTGTTTGGGGGTCTGACATTGATATAAATATCGTGTCAAGAGTTCATTTGGTGGCTCAAAAATTGCGAATCGATATAAAATCATCATATTCCTAGGCCAAGTTTAATTTTTAATTTATATGTTGTTGAATTTTTCTGAGTTGTTGAGCAAGTAGGACAGACACAATGTGAAATCTTGAAATTTTTTATAGCAACTTGAATGTACATATAGAAGCACTGGCAATAGTGTGCTAGTCATTGATCATATTAATATTTGATCCGATACAGTCACTGTAGTGGAATTTAGACTCAGAGAGACAAAATTCGAATAAGACGTAAATCTGAGAATAAGTGGGGATATCAAGAAAGACGTGAACTTCGATAGCGAGATCATAATGAAAAAAATAGTTTAATCATGTACATATTCATGCATATTATTACTTGATGAGCATTTACTCGTATAGTTTTGCTTTACAAGCATGACACTGTATGTGTTGGAGGTTTGGTGTGAACTCCTAGATGACGGGACGATTATGTACCGAGTACGTGATTAGAGTTAAATGGGTTTGTCATCAGGGAATTCAAAAAAGGGAAAGTTGCAGCAGAAGCTCCAAACCTTTTAAATACTAGCAGATTTTTCCCTAACTTTACATTTGTTGCAGCCATCACCCAAACATTTTCAAACGTTGTAT